GTCTCAAAAAAACAAACAAAAAACATATCACAACTATTTTCCCATGTTAAAAATTCCACCAGTAATGTAAGAGAATATTGGGTGCCCTGTACCCTTGCCAATATTGGGTATTCTTACTTTTTAGATATTTGCCAGTGTGATACATGAAAACTGTCATGTCATTGTTTTGATTTGCATTTTCTCCAAGCATCAGCGAAGTTTAATGATTTTCACAGTTTAAAAAAGTATTTTTTAATTTATAATCACCTTGTTGACAATGAGGTTTTCATGTTTTTATTAACTGTGTTTCTTCTCCTGCTTAGATAAATCTTAGAATTTTTCACATTGATTTAGACAAACGCTAGTACAAAGGTCTTTTTAAGTCAATGAAAATTTTAATGATTTTTCTTGGTAATTTTTGTCTGTAGATCTGAGTTTAGAAGGGCATTTCCCGTTCTGATATCATGTAAATATGTGTAATTTGTTAGTTTTAAAAAACATGACTTCTTTAATCCCCTAGGTTGTAGTTTACCAGGTGTTACATTGCCTTCTGGATATTGCCTGTTTATACCTTTGCCCATTTTTCCCCCTTCTCGGTTGTTTATCTTTTCTTATTGCTTTATAGAAGTTCTTTAGATATCACAATGGTTAATCTTTTGTTATATGTGTTACATGTATTTTCTCCTTATTTGTTACTTGTCTTTTAATTTTGTTTATGGTGTCTTTATATAGAAGTTTTAACTTATGTGGTCAGATCTTTCACTTAAAAAAATTCTTCATTATTCAACTTGAAATCTTTCACTTTATGGCTTTGGGTTTTTTTTTTTTTTTAATTGTATAGCAAAATCTCTACCATCCAAAGATTATCTTTAAAAAATTTTCATATACTTTATGTGAAAAATTTTTTTTCACACTGAGCTCATTTAGTTTGTATGGAATTCCCTTTTGTGTCTAGTGTGAGGGTAGGAATCTAACTTTTTTGCAAATGGATAGGCTTTTGTGTCTCTCAGTTCACTGACCTGTTCATATTTCAAATGCCACAACATCTTCCTACAGCATAAGGCCTCTTTCTGGATTCTCAGTTTTGTTCTAGTGACAGGTCTGTCTGTGTTTATTCCATTACCTCCCCTCCCCTGTGGCTTTATGTAGAAGTTTGATATCTGATAGGGCAAATATGCTCTTTTCCAAATTTTTCTTAGCTATTCTCATGAATTTACTGTTTCTGGTGAATTTTAGAATTATTTTGATGAGTTTTAAGACAAATCCCATTGAGATTATGATTAGAATTGTGCTAAATTTATAGATGAATATGGGAAGGATATTCATCACTAGCAGGTCTTTCCATAAACGAGCATACTGTATCTGTTTATTCTGGAGTTGCCTCTCTGATAACGATTTTAACCTAGATGCTCATTGTAGCACTGTTTTGTTCTAAATACATGTATTACAAAGATAGTATTAGAGTAAATTAGTTGAAGGAAAAGTCTCATATCTCTTTCTGTTTTCTTTCTCTTTTCACCTTTAATTTTGGGTCTGAAGAGACTATCATGATATATGGTGTATGTATACCCAGGCTCTTGTAACAATTGGCAGTATAGTATGATCTGTTTTTCTTACTGTCATTAATGTAATGATTAAGGACTATTTAATCAAGTGGATAACTGTACTTTTATGTTAGATAAGGATGTTTCTAGTTTCTGAGAGTACACATTAAGATAGTGCTTTTATTCTTGTTTTATTTGAAAAATGGTTCAAGGGGGTGGTTTTATTTTTTTGAAAAAACTCTTTGAGATAATATTTAATTGTTGTGAAAATTTCATATAGTATTGCATATAAAGAAAAAAGTGCCTTTTGAGAAGGTGAGAGTTTTGTTCTCCAAACTTTCAGTCATTGACATGCCTCCTTGTTACTTTTGCCGTATATTTGTATCATCTGTACTGTTAATTCATAACAATTTTCTTAAAATTTGCTAAAGAAATCCAAAAATCCTTAGTGATAAGAGCTGTGAACTCGTAACGTACATTGATGTTACATAAATACACAGCGTTGATGTTTTATGTACATTGCTATATATTAAGAAATGTATAACATTGATGCATATTAAATAATTTATTCAAAAGTATGTATACTTTATGACAAACTAGCACAGTGAGTGGAAGTATAACGTCCTGAAATCAAGGTTTCATGGTTTTAAATCCTGATTCTACTATGTCCTCCCTCAGTGATATTAGATAATAAACTTAAGCCTGGCCGGGCGTGGTGGCTCACACCTGTAATCCAAGCACTTTGGAGGCCAAGGCGGACGGATCACCTCAGGTCGGGAGTTCAAGACCAGCCTGACCAACATGGTGAAACCCCGTCGTGAAAAAGTAAAAATAAAAATAAACTTAAGCCTCTGCTTCCATTTTATTTGTTAAATGAGGTTAGCATGCCACCTCCCTTGTAAGGTTATTATAAAATTAAACAGCAGGTGTACAATCAGTCAGCACAGCCCTAGTACATAGGTGTTCCACAAATACTAGCTATCATTCAATATAATAATTTGTAAAAATACCTTGTGTCTCCTTCAAAGCTAGTTCTCACACAAGCGTCTCATTTTTAGTGTTTACATAGTATTCATTGTAAGAATATACTATGATTTACGAAACTTTTGTAATCATTTTGTCATTTTTTTTAAAAAAAAAAAGCAACAAATAACAGGATTGGTTTCTAACATGTACCACCAGATTTCCCTCCCAAAGGACTGTATTAATTTGCTGTTCTGTCAGTTTAGACTTCATGATTTAAATATTCGGTGGGGGGCAATAGTGGATTTAAAAATAATACTTGTTTTTGTTTTAGCTAACATTATTATTCACTAGCCATAAAGGAACACATTAATTGCTATTTGTTCTTGTTGAATCTGTGCAGTTTTCTCAGAGGTAGGTAAGCCTGCCTCTGTGTGTGTGTGTGTGTGTGTGTGTGATGCAATTTATGTGTGTGGTACTAGTAATTGAGAAATTAGGGTAATTTCAAATTATTCTGGTCAGGAATCCCTGGAATACCAGAATTGTCTCCAATCTATAGCCACTGTTTTCTAGTTTATAGGGTCCATGGGAGAAAGATTTGTTTTCCATTTATCAGTGCAAATATTTAATACAAAAGGATTGTGTATTTTATTCTTAACTGGAACTTGGGCAGCAAACTCCAGGGTAGAACACTGGAGTGAGTTGAACTGGTTCATGTGGAAATGCTGGTGTTTTGGAATCTAGTTAAATTGTTTCAAACTAAAGCAGACCATGAGATGAAACCTTTTTATCTCCCCAGTTCTCAAACACACTGAGATCTTCCCCGAATTTCACTCCTTTCTGTCAGTTTCCTGGGGTCATGTAACCAGAGCCAGCCCATTTGCCCTGGCTGACTGCTGATCTGGCCTTGGACACCTGCCCTGTCCTCTTCTGCCCAAGCAGTAGGTTTGGACCTGGCTATCCCTCACAGTGGTGGGTACAGGAGGGAGTGACAACCTTGTCAACCACTTCAGTCACATGGAAGAAGGAGAAAAGTGAGCTTGCATTTGTGTGCTGACCTTTTAACAGTGATGCTGCCCAGTGACACACCCAATCAATCAGTGTTCTCACATCTGCATTCTTCCTTCCTGAGAATCAGGAGAAAGAAGAGCTCAGGCTTGATTTCTAACCTCAAAAGACAGCACATAAAAACCTGCAGCCATTCTCAGAAGCATTGGTTTTCTGTTGGGTTGTTGCCTATGTCAGATCAGCCAGAAAGAGGTGGAGTAACAACCTACTTGCTGAGAATTACACACAATTCATGTCCCCTGGCCCCGCTGCTCCTCAGCTACACTTCAACCTGCAAAGTGACTTACTCTTGAGATGCTCTTTCCTCTTGCTTAATGGTTCATGACATGTTCTTCATTTTCCTCCTACCACTCTCTCTCTCTCTCTTTTTTTTTTTTTGGCTGGCTTATTCTCCTGTATTTGGCCATTAAATGTTCCACCAATCAGCCCTAGGCCCTCTGTCATTCTTCTTTCCCTAAGCAGTCACAGCCATGTCCATGGCATCACTCATGGGTAAATCCAACATTTTCATCTCTACCCCAAATTCTGCTGTTGAGACTCTGTCTGCTAATACCTAATTGCCTACTGGACATCTCTACTTGGATGTCTAAAAGTATTCTAAATTCAGCATGTCCAAGATTTATTTCATATTGTTCCTCCGAAAATGCTATTTACTATCTTAATGAAAGGCATCACCGGCTGGGCACAGTGGCCACGCCTGTAATCCCAGCATTTTGGGAGGCCGAGGCGGGTGGATCACTTGTGGTCAGGAGTTCAAGACCAGCCTGGTTATCAACAGGGTGAAACCCCGTCTCTACTAAAAATACAAAAATTAGCCTAGTGTCGTGGCTGATGCTTGTAGCCCCAGCTACTTGGAAGGCCGAGGTGGGAGGATCACTTGAACCCAGGAGACGGAGGTTGCAGTGAGCCAAGATCACGCCACTGCACTCCAGCCTGGGAGACAGAGCAAGACTTGGTTTCAAAAAAACAAACCATACATGCTATGTTTCAGCTCATTGCACTTACTCTCCTTGTCAGAGCTCAAACTGTCCCTTTTTTAGCCTGCAGTGCCACTTCTGGTTGGCTCCTGGGCCTTCTAACAATCCTGTTTATGCTTAGTTTCCTTGTTGTCCAGTGTGACAAGATGTTCTTGGCTTATCTTGCGTATTTCCTGCCCAGCAACTTTTGCAAGAAGAATGTGGACGTTTGAAACAAAGTTTCAGTGCCCTAGTCGCACTCCAAACCAGCTTAACCAGAGTCCCTGATGGGGATAGGACCCAGATACAGACAGGGTCTCCAGGCTGGAGTGAAGATGTGGGATCTCAGCTCACTGCAACCTCTGCCTCCTGAGTAGCTGGGACTGTAGTTGTGAGCCACAACTCTCAGCTAATTTTTGCATTTTTAGTAGAAATGGGGTTTTGCCATGCTGGCCAGGCTGTTCTCCAACTCCTAACCTCAAGTGATCCACCGGCCTTGGCCTCCCAAAGTGCTGAGATTACAGGTGTGAACCACCACACCCCACCAGGATACAGTATTTTTTTAAAAAGCACATCCAGCCTTGGATGGAAAACCACTTGAGGAGAGTATGTTGTCTTATTGGGTTCTGTAAATACCTTACCTCTGCACAAGGCTGGAACTTTGAGAGGAGTCCTTGGCTAAAGCTCTCATTGCTACATGGCGACCTTTCATCCCTCTCCTGCTTAAAGCTTATGTTTCCTAATTTTGACCTCAATGCATCTGTATTGAAAGCCAGGCTTGGTCTGTCATCCTAGGACTCTGTGTCGGTCCCTTTCCTTGCCTATAAGTTGAGTTGGGGCTCATCTTTGTGCCTCTGGAAAGTAAGTTCTTTGATAGCTTGCTTAGAGTCTCTCAGTACTTTCCCTTGCCCTTAGAATGAATACTAAAATATGTGGCCTTCAGTGTAGACTGCTCAGGCCCCCTCTTGGTTCCTGGAGTCTGCCATACTTCCTTTTACCACCAGGCCTTTGCACATGCTGTTGTCTGCTGGGAATGCCTTGCCTTTCCTCGTCATTTAGTTCTCCTCTACTCATCTTTCAGGCACTAGATTGACTGTCTTCCTCGGGGGAGCCTTCTCTGACCTTGGTACACAAGATCAGCCCCCGTGTGCTGACTTTGTCTCACTGGTAATATTTCTCTACTTTTAGGACACATATCAAGGCCCAGAAGTCGCAGTTTTGCATTTGTTTGTGTAATCATTTGATGCATGTCTCTCTCTGGAGCCTGACTCTTTGGGGCTCACGTCCTGTCTCTACCACTTTTAGCTGTGGGACCTTAAACAAATCATTTCATCTCTGGTCCCCAGTTTGTTTTAACTGCAAAATAGGGATGATAGAATACTTTAACCTACCTTGTGAGGTGGGGATGAAGATTAAATAGGGTAATTTGTGTAAAGCACTTAGAACAGAGCTCGCTATTAATAGTAGAGAATCTTGGCAGGTATTACTGATGATTACTGCAGTGGACCACGAGCTCCATACAGGCAGGGGCCATTTCTGTTTGTTTAGATTTGTATGCAGGGTACTTGATACATGGATGGTGCTCAGGAAATATTTGTTGGATGAATGAATGAAATGGAGATAATAGTAATGCCATGTTTATAGAATTCCATGAGTATATAAAATAATGCAAGTATATAAGTTCTTGGTAGCATGTCTAGCTCATAGTAGGTGGTCAATAAATATTCAATGCCTGAATGAGGAAAATGGAGACAATAGTAATACCAGCTTATGAGGTTGTCGTGGGGATCTAAGGTAACCCTGTAGTACCTTGTAGAGTACCTAGCACATAGTAGGTGCTCAGAAAATATTTGTTGAATGAGTGAAGTGGGGATGATGGTTAACACCAGCTCCTAGGGTTGCTGCGGGGATAGAAGATAAGGCAGGTTGATAGCTTATTGTATTGTGGTTGTGCCTGGTAGACACTCTGTTGAGTAAAACAAGAGGAGCTGCTACGACTTTCTTTCTCCTGGGGCTTAGGAGAGAATCCTTTTGGGGTGCAGAATGGTATGGAGTGGACACTGGTCCTTTTGAAGGCAAGAATGGGCAGCTGACTACTCCTTGCCAAGCTCTGGCCTGGATGAAAAGTTGAATTGTTCCTTTCCCTCTTCCTCCCTAACCTGTTCTTTCTTTCCACTAGAATCCTTGCCCGGAGTCCAGCGCCTCCTTCCTGTCCAGGATCACCTTCTGGTGGATCACAGGGTAAGGCTGGGCCCCCAAGACCTCAGGGAGGTGGTAGGGAAATGAACGAATGAATGAACATGCCGAGCTCCCCACTTGACTTCTCTCTCCTTCACTGTTCTTCAGAGTTGTCTTGAATCTGCCTGTGCTGGCCATGTAGTCTCAGAGACACCAACTCTGTCCCCCAAGTCCATCACCTTGAATGTGATAAACACATGAGCCATAAGCAGCTTAAATCTCTGCGGAAGGCTTGGCCTGGGACAGCCATACACTGGACTGCTCTTACTTTAGCTTCAGATTTGGGTTTTTATTTCTTGCCTGGACATCATGTTCAATCTGACAGATTTCGTTTTTTTTTAAATATTAGGTATAGTGGCCGGGCGCGGTGGCTCAAGCCTGTAATCCCAGCACTTTGGGAGGCCGAGGCGGGTGGATCACGAGGTCAAGAGATCGAGACCAGCCTGGTCAACATGGCGAAACCCCGTCTCTACTAAAAATACAAAAAAATCAGCTGGGCATGGTGGTGCGTGCCTGTAATCCCAGCTACTCAGGAGGCTGAGGCAGGAGAATTGCCTGAACCCAGGAGGCGGAGGTTGCGGTGAGCCGAGATCGCGCCATTGCACTCCAGCCTGGGTAACAAGAGTGAAACTCTGTCTCAAAAAAAAAAAAAATTAGGTATAGTTATTATTGACTTTGTTCCCCTCCTGTCCCCCACTCCTTAGAAAAATAATACTGTCTCACCATAGGAAACGTGGGTTAAAAAAAGTGCAGATTAGTAGTAAGGAGGCAACCACTGTCACCATTTTAGTTTGCCTCCTTCTGGTCTTTTCTTTTTGAGATGGAATCTCTGTCTCCCAGGCTGGAGTGTAGTGGCGCGATCTCAGCTCACTACAACCTCTGCCTCCTGGGTTCAAATGATTCTCCTGCTTCAGTCTTCCAGGTAGCTAGGATTACAGGCATGTGCCATCATGCCTGGCTAATTTTTGTATTTTTAGTAGAGACAGGGTTTTGCCATGTTGGCAAGGCTGGTCTTGAACTCCTAACCTCAGGTGATGCACCCACATCTGCTTCCCGAAGTACTGGGATTACAGGTGTGAGCCACTATGCCCAGCCACCCTGTGGTTTTCTTTTTATACATCTTTTTCTGCCCATTGTCAACATCTTATTGGGGATTATTTGAAGAATCTTTCTTTCACCCTAATATACATCATCTTTTTGTTTTTTTGGAGACAGGCTTTCGCTCTGTCCAGTGGAATAGAAGAGAGGCCTCAGAAGTAACGCCACACATCTATAACCATCTGATCTTTCGCAAACCTGACAAAAGCAATGAGGAAGGGATTCTCTATTTAATAAATGGTGTTGGGAAAACTAGCTAGCCATCTGCAGAAAGCTCAAACTGCATCCCTTCCTTACACCTTATACATACACAAATTAACTCCAGATGGATTAAATATTTAAACGTAAGACCTAACACCATAAAAACCCTAGAAGAAAACCTAGGCAATACCATTCAGGACATAGGCATAGGCAAGAACTTCATGACTAAAACACCAAAAGCAATGGCAACAGAAGCCAAAATAGACAAGTGGGTTGTAATTAAACTTAAGAGCTTCTGCACAGCAAAAGAAACAATCGTTAGAGTGAACTGGCAACGAACAGAATGGGGAAAAATTTTTGCAATCTACCCATCTGACAAAGGGCTAATATCCAGAATCTAGAAAAAAATTAAATTTACAAGAAAATACAACCCAATCAAAAAGTGGGCAAAGGATATGAACAGATGCTTCTCAAAAGAAGACATTTATATGCAGCCAACAAACATGAAAAAAAGCTCATCACTGGTCATGAGAGAAATGCAAATCAAAATCACAGTGAGATACCATGTCATGCATGCAGTTAGAATGACGATCATTAAATCAGGAGACGACAGATACTGGAGAGGATGTGGACAAATAGGAACACATTTACACTGCTGGCAGGAGTGTAACTTAGTCCAGCCACTGTGGAAGACAAGTCTGGCAATTCCTCAATGATATAGACCTAGAAATACCATTTGACCCAGCTATCCCATTACTGGGTATATACTCAAAGGATTATAAATCATTCTAACATAAAGATACATGCACATGTATGTTCATTGTGGCCCTGTTTACAATAGCAGAGACTATTGTATATAACATATACAATAATATAAGTAGAGGAACAATCTCTCCTACCAAGTATATAACAAACACCCAAGAAAAACAGCTATATGCTATTTGTTGTACAGATTTTCAACTAAAAGGTGCCAGGGAGATTCCATGATTACCACAAGTAATTTGTTCCACTGAAGGTTTACACTGGCAAAAAACAGATGTCACACTAGTATGACTTAAAAGTCAAAGTATTAATATTTGTCTAATTAAAACTTAACCAAATTTCATATTTTCTCTATTGGAGAAACCATTTCCTAATGTGATTTTTCTGTTGCTGTGTATCTTCCACTTCATTTTTGTTCAGCCCTCACCCTGTCACAGTACTTATCAATCTTTTGTTAGTTACCAATGTTAAATAAAATTTTGTAATCAACTAGCCAGATGTCTGTGGTTTTCTCTGACCAACTTTCCGTAACTAAACCACCGCTAAATTTTAAAAGTAAATACTACGCAAAAGTTGAGAGAAAATTTTACAAGAGACCACTTTACCTTGGTAGTACCAGTCAAGTCATCATCATCTGGTTTAGGGCATGAATCCATACACAGTTCGTGGAAAATGCTGTAGAGCAAAAATATATAATAAAAATGAGCAAGTTGATTTTTTTTTCTTTTCTTTTTTTTTTTTTTTTTTTTTAAATTTTTTTTTTTTTTTTTTTTTTTTTTTTTTTTTACAAATTTTTTAACTGTCAGTTTATATTCAGCTTCCCCCTCCAAGAAACAAAAACACAATCTCCGAAAAGGTCAGCCATCTGTATATTAAATAACATTTCTCGATACAATTAAAATATGGCCTCTGTTCTAAAAATAGATTTTCGTTACCTATTTCTGCCTCCGTCTAAATCTATAAAATATTCAATGAAAACTGACCCTGAGCTCCATAACAAAAAGTGACAGCCACTATATTCGCAGTGCTTGACAATAATTTGCCCTCACAAATTATCTGTCCTGAAGCAGGACATGAAATTCAATTAATGGACGACATAACTTTTGTCACCTAAACTGGAAGGAACCTTATGACCTAAAACAAGGTAGAAAGATCCACTGTCTCTTGTCCATCTGTCTCTGGTTAAAAGACTAATCTGTGTCACTTCAAAATGGCAGTCTTGATTCCTCAGCATGAAAACCACTTAATAAGTTCCCAGTGCTTTCCTTTGTCCTAAAAGAGTACAGAGAATCCCCTGCTATATATGTAATCTCAACTACTTGGGAGACTGAGGCAGGAGGATCACTGGAGAAACCCAGAAGTTTGAGACCAGTTTGGAAAACATAGCAAGACTCTACCTTCATTAAAAAAATTATGCACACTTGCGTGCATGCTTTAGACCATTTTTCTTTAAAGTATAGAACTGATGCTTTGTTACAAAGCATTCCTTTGGGAGCTCACCTGAGACCTTATTAGAATTAATGTAAATTATACCTACTGGTATGTGATTAGTGCCGTAAGAACTCTTACTTCCCTTACTTTGTATTTATTAAATGCAAAGAATAAATTTATCAAAATTTGATATCTACAAGTAAACTGCAGTATACCAGTCATCTCAGACAAACCATATGAGACTAAAAATGGTACTGTTATCACAACAGGTGTGATGAGCGACCAGTGTCAAAGAGCATGATTCTGAACCAAAATATGAAGGGCAGCTAAAACAGACTAGTAGTTCCCTTATCCATGACATGTGTGGAAAAGACACACTTGCCATGTTTTTCTCTGCTCTCACACCACAGAAACAATCATCAACAAAGAAGGCTTCAGTGATCAAACGTGTGGAGGGTTTTTCCCCACCACCAAGCAAGCGATCATTTCTGCAGATGACACAAGCTGGGTGTCATCTAATTCAGTTCTCATACTCTATCTGCAGATAGCATCAGATTCCACAGGTAAAGGGCTCAGTCCCAGGAAACTCCCTCCCTACATCAGTCCTAAGTCTGAAACTCCAGAACTTCTGACCAACCGGCTTCAATTTGGGGTTCAATTGCGGTTCCCAGGACTCCCTCTTTGGGTTAAATTGAATTGCTGGAATGACTCAAAGTACTCGGGGAACACATTTACCAGTTTGCTATGAATGACATTACAAAAGGTACAGATGAGATGCACTGTGCAAAGTGTGGGGGAAGTGGGACAAAGATTACATGCCCTCCCAGGACACACCATCCTCCAGGAACCTCCATGTATTCAGTGAACTGGAAGCTCTCAGCCCAGTCCCTTTGGGTCTTTATGAAAGCCTTGTTACATATGCACCACTGATTAAGTGAATCACTGGCCGTTGGTGACTGAATACCTTCAGGCTTTCTCTTTGCCCTAGAGTCTGCAGAGAGACAGAAGATCCCAACCCTCTAATCAATGTCTTCACGTTAATGACCAGTTGCCATCTTGAATCTATGTAGGGGCTTCCAGCCATCAATCATTAGCATACAAAAAGACATCAGTTTGGAATTTCTAACGATTTTAAGGATTGTACACCAAGAACTGAGTCAACGTCCAAACACAGATTTTACATTCGCAGTTTTTATGTCTGTGGTTGCAGCTGATAGTCAACTGTATTCCAAAAATATCACATGGAAAACTTAAGAAATAAACGTAAGTTTTAGTGCACCATTCTGAGAATGAAACCTTGAGCCCCCTCCATCCAGACCAGGATGTGAATTATCCCTTTGCTGGGTACATCCACACTGCATATGCTGTTCACCCATTAGTCATCAACACAGTCTCCTGTTGCCAGCCATCAACATCATTAAGGCCTGAAGATCCAAGGTCACTCACAGCTCATGATCTTTTTTCTGACTTAGATTCAGGGGGAGCACAGTGGCCTAACACTGCGTTACAACACCTGCCTCATTCACCTCACTTCGTCTCATTACACAGGCATTGTATCACTTCACATCATCACAAGAAAAAGGATGAGGAACCATAACAATATATTTTATCATGAGTTATTAATTTCTTACTGTGCCTAATTTATAAATTAAATACTATCATAGATATGTATGTGTAGAAAAAATGGTATGTGATTCAGTGCTATTTGTGGTTTTAGGTATTTACTGGGAGTCTTGATATGTATCTCCTACATTTAAGGAGGAACTACTGCACTTATTTTGTTGAACACAACACAGCCTCCCTAGCTCTGCAGTTAAAACTGTTCAGGTTAGGATAAAACAACCTGTCATCAGAAGCCAGCAAAACATAGGAATCAGACCAGGAACAAGGATCCTTGCAAAAACCTTCCAGCTGCCAGAGGAGGAGA